TGCGACGCTATGAAACACAGCGTGACGTCATCGGCTTACACGGTGACGAAGCAAGAGGCAAGAGGATCGAAGGATCGCGTTATGTGCGCGCGACGTGCGCGAATCGAGCGTGGCCGCGTTCGCGTTTTCTTACGCAAGCCCGGGAAAATAGAGTCACGGTAAGGAGATTTGCGTCGCAGAATGTTGAAAAGCGCGAAGTGGCTAGGAGAGCGACGAGCAGCAATAAAAATTTTCGTTTGCGACGTGCACGCGAACGAAGGCGGGAGGGGGGGGGGACTCCGAGAGGTTGTTGCGCAACTCGATCGAGCCAAGCACCACGCCATAAAACAACTACAATAAAAATTCCCGAGCTCGCCGACAAGCTCTCTCTCTCTCTCTCTCTCTCTCTGTGTCGAGCAAATCGGAAGCTAAAATCGCGCGAGTACCCTGAAAACGGTTAAATTTATTCTCCGCCGAAATTTCGTTCTACCAAGAACGGGTAGAGTGAATTTCAGCCGAGCTGTCGCTATCGCGTAGCACAAGAGCGTATGAATATGCACGACATATTGTTGAGTAGCGCGATAGTGTTCCACCGGTGCGTGGAACACTAGATTTGATTTCAAATCAGAGAAGCACACAGCAGACGTTCGTGGAACGGTCAAGACTTTAGAGAAAGCCACATGTGTGTATGTGTGTGTCTGACCGTTTTCCTAAATGTCGGAGCACGGGGAAACACGGTCCTCGGAAATGGACCTGTATATAACGTGTTAATCGCTTAACAAAAAGACAAAGAGAGACAGAGAGAGGAGGAGAGCGTGTACGTGAGCATTTCCCTGCACGGTGATGGCACACGTGCAAGTACTCACTCTCTCGTGGCATCGATTGCAATAAGCCGGCGCAGCCAAGACCCCGTCCGTCGTCCAGATGTAAACAGCCGTCGTCATCTTCGTCGGCTTTTGCAAGCTGACTCGTCTTCCAATCGCTTTACTTTTTCGTTCGCGTCGATCGAGAAACCGTTCCATCAACCTTCGCATCGATTGGTGAAACGGTGAAACAATTTATGTACATACTTAGATATGTATGAAACTCGAAGAAGCGACAACTGGCTCTGTTAAACAAGTGATTGAGAACGTTTTTACAACGTTCGTCTACAACAATACGAAAACGTGAAAACGTGATTTCACCTTTCACACACACACACACACAC